AGATACCTTGCAGTAAAATTAACAAAAGAGGTGAAGGATATACACAATGAAAACTATTAACACATTGTTAAAAGAAATAGAAGACACAAAGAAATGGAAAGATATTCCTTGTTCATGGATTGAAGAACAAACATCGTTAAAATAGGCATCCTCACATGGGTGATTTGGTGATGGGAAACCCAAGGGGATTGCAACTGAGATGGAAAAATGCACAGAAATATGTAAAAGTAAACTACTATAACATTAAAAAAAACTTAAAAAAAATAGCCATCCTAATCAAAGCAATATATAAATTCAAGGCCATCTTTATTAAGGATGCATAAAAGACAATGAATAGAGAAAACAACCCAAATAAATAAGGGAAAGAGTGGGAGTATCATACTCCCAGACTTCAATATATCCTATAGAGTGATAATAATCAAGGAAGTATGGTATTGGAACAAAAAAAGACACAAAAGCTAATAGAACAGATTGAGAGCCCAGAAATAAATGAACATTCATCTATGGACAGTCTATGACAAAGGAGATAAAGATATTCACTGGAGAAAGGAGAGTATATTCACCAAATGGTACTGGGAAAACTGGACAGCTGCTTGGAAAAGAATAAAACCAAATCATATCTCACTAAAATTACACAAAATTTAACTCAAAATGGACTTACACAACAAGAATGTAAGAGAGGAAACTAGAAAATATAGTGAAGGAAATACAGACAAAAAACTCCATGATATTGGCTTCAGAAATGTTTTTAAGGATTCATCTCAAATGATAAGAGAAGCAAAGGCAAACAAACAATGGGGTTATATCAAACTAATAAGTTTCTGCACAGTGAAAAAATACTTCCGTAAAAGAAAGAGACACACTACCAAACTGCAGAAAATATTTGCACATAACACATGACAAAGGACTGATATTCAGAATACATGAAGAACTCATACAAGTTGACAAAAACAACCCAATCAAAAAATTAGCAGAAGTGTTAGAAAAGATACTTCTCCAAAGAAGACATACAGATAGATGACCAACAGGCACATGAGAAATTGTGGATCATCACTTAGTATCACAGAAACATAAAACTACAGTGAGATAACATCTTAAATCTATGAGAATGGCTCACATCAAAAAGTCTGGAAACAAGTGCTGGCAAGGTTGTGAGGAAAAAGGAAACTTTGCACTTTGTTGGTAGAAATGTAGGCTGGTCTTGCTCCCACAGAAAACAGGTAAAGTTTGTTTAAAAGATTAAAAATAGACCTAACCATATGACCTACCAATTCCATGTATAGGTATCTGCCTGAAAAATACAAAGACACTAAGGGGTATATGTATTCCTGTGTTCGCTGCAGACCATTTACAACAGCTAAGTTGTGGAAACAAACTAAGGGCAAAGGAATGGATCAAAAAATATATTATATTTACACCAGGGAATACTACTCAACTATAAAAGGGTTGAACTTATCCCACTAGCAGCAATATGGATGGAACTGCAGAGAACAAAGCTAAGAAAAATAAATCAGGAGAAAGACAAATACTTGGTGGTTTCACTTGTATGTAGAATATAGAGAAATGTAAAGAACCATTCAAACTGCAATAATAACAAACTTGTAATATTTGACTGCATAACTGAAGCTACCAGAAAAGGAGGGTGACAGGGTGAAAACTGACAAGGGGGAGGCTCAGTGAAATGTGGTGGAAAATTATGGGGGCATCGGTGGTGGGCATAATGTGAATATATACACTTTCAGAAGTTTAAACCTATAAACACCAAAGATACAATAATACTAACTTGCCCTTAATTCACTTTTTGGAGAAAAAATGCTTCATGTTTATTACAAAAAAAATTGTGTCTGCAACAAAGATAAATTCAGGGTATTAGGGAAAAGGACTCTCAGAGGTACTCTAAACTATTGGTACTACAAAGAATAGTTTGTTGTGTGAAGGCTTCCGAGGTGACATAGCTTAGATAACTTTTAAATAGTAGCAGTGGACAGAGTCAGGAATCCCAGGACTCATGAGTATGAAAGCAGAACCACATTATTAAACCAAGAAAAAGCAAAACAGGAACAAAATTGAGCTAAATGAAATAATAAGAAAAATTTTATTGTGTTTATTTGGAACATTGTTGATTAGCTTTGATATACTATTGTTGCATGATTCTAGATTTGCAAAACAAGTTTAATAATGGTTAATTAACATTTTTACTGCCAATTAATCAGGACAAGACTAGGCTTTTGTGATCAATAATGATATTTGTGTTTACTTTGATATGAGATTGGGGAGACACAGTCAGGAAAAACTATGAGACTTAAAGGAGGCCAAAAAATTATAGGATGTTCAGTTTAGTTCATCTTTCTCATTTATCTGTAGATTTCATTGTCTTTGAGCTATTTTATAATATTGCAGTTTGTGGAAAATTTATAGCAATAAATATGACTCTAGTTCTAAGGACATAAGACAGATACTGTTTAATTGAAACTTTCAATTAAAAAAATGTTAAAAAGATGTTTAAAAAAATGAAAAAAATCTTTGGGAAAACTATGTGAGTTAGGGTGAGGTGAGGGTTGGAAGAGATTTGAGAGAGCAACTGTGGAAATATTGTCTCCTTGGCTGAGAAGAGGATAAAGGCCTGTATATCTCACAAACAGCAGGAATTGTCCATCTCCGTCTCCCCATGATCCTAATGCTGCTAATATGAACCAGAGTAGCAAACACCTAAGATCTATGGTACTACATGGACACTCTAGACACATTTAGTGCAGACTAGTGATCAGATGTGTCTTGTACATGTACTGTTGCCTTCCAAGCCCCTCCTAGATTCTTGGCATACTTCTTGGAGTGGGTGAGCCCCAGAAGTGGCTTAACATTTCTTGTCGGTTCTATAGCATAAGTAAGTACTCATAGCAAGATTCAAGTTCAATTAATTAAAATTTACATACCTGAGATTCTGGGTTTAAGATTTATGCCTACTTCTTTATCGTCATGCTTCTGGATCTTTCCTTAATTAACCTACCTGTCTTTACTATGACAGGCTTTCAGGGTTAGCCCTTAGGTTGAAGTAGATGCCCTATTATTTATGATTTCCTTTCTTTCTGCTTTTTGATAAGGTAGAAATTTTGGGGGGCACTAGAGCCTGTATGGTTGGAGTTTGTGTCATTTATGGTTTATCTTTCTTCTTGGTTTCTCTTTTCATCTCATTCCCACTCAAGGATGTAGCAATGACAATCATTAGTGCATATGGAATAACTTGGGGTGGCCAACTCCTAACGTATCTTTCCTAGTAACTTGAAGGGTCAGGGTACATAGAGGATAAAATTTGTAAAACTAATGATTTACTATGTTGACTATTTTGTCAGAAAACCTCTAAGATAAATGCATCTTTGTTAATACTAAGGAAGAAAACTAAAGTTGGTAAGTGTTCTTATCCTATATAGTTACTTATCAGGATTGAACCACAATTACCAAATCAATGTATGCCACATACTTTTCAAAAGTATGGAAAAGGCAAATTTTAGGTTGTCAAATTGGTACTGTCCCATAAATTAATTAGCACCCAAGGTAAATTATGTATGAAATATTCTCTGGAGATAACAAATTTAACATCTAAGTAAAATCCTAACTTCAGAATTTGCTTTTGTGACCCTTGAGTACAAGTTCTTGTGGTACTCAGATCACCAGAGAGGCAGTTCTATGGTAATGAAAAACAGAAATGCTGCCAATTATTTCTTATAGATCTCCTGCAATGTAAATTTCAGTTCCTAGCCTTTGTGATCTCAGCAGTGGTCTCAGTACAATTTGTTCCAAGTAGGTTAAAGACTTAGAGGATACTTGGAGGGGAGACTACTAACCAGGCACTATGTTTGCCATGAAAATACCTACTTGTTCAACACCTTTACCCTTTGATGTAAACTGAGATGGTGACCTTGGACTGAGAGTCCCTTTCTTTCTTCTAAGGTTTTTGGTAGCTGAAGCATTGTAAAATACTTTTAAATTAAAGTTTGTAAATGGAAGGCAGGAATTCTCAGTTCATGGTAATGTATCCTGACATTTGCTCTCAGGGACAGTAGAGTTCACTGCTCAAAGCCAGGTTATACATTTATGCAGTTTTATGCTTTATAGTTACAGAGGGAAGGCAGACAATTAATCACATACATAAGTCCTAGCTTAAAATAAATAAAACTCTCAGAACATATAATTTTTAGTAAGAGCTTATATAACAATTTTTCAGTTCAGTCATTAGGGACAAATGAATACATGGAAAAGGATTATAGACTGGCAAGATATTTTGTGACCTAAAATATGATTAGTAAAACATGACTGGTTATTGTAGTAAACAATAACTGGTTATTGTAGTAAACAATATTTTGTTTTTAAAATATTTTTCAGTGAACTCAATAATAATCATAAATGAACATGTTTCATTAAGATATATAATGTTAATTATACTGAGAAATTCAAATTGTGATTTATGGGATGAAGTGTATGTCATATGCAAATATACTTAGTCCTATAAAATCATATATATATTTGTATTTTATCTTCATCATTATGATTATAAGTATTAGCTAGTGGGAAAGGTTTAGTGCCTAAACCTTTCTTCTTTGTGGGGAATTAAGGGTTCTTTAGTAGTTTGGAAAATATGCTGGGGGAGGTCATCTTTAATTTAAAGTTTAGTAAAAGGAAGGATCTTGGAGCTTAGATTGGGGGTAAACTATCATATGTAAAATAAGTCTTAACTGCAGTAAAGTTGAGTGAGCAACAAATTAGAAATCTTCAGGGGGTCATCAAAACTATTCTGCATGTTGTGGGATTCTCCATGTTGCTTATGATGTAAACTCTACCTGTAATGTATACCTGTTAGAAAGTCAACAAATTTTATAAGCCCCATAGATTTTCAGCTTTATAAGAGTTTTATTATGGGATTAGACATCTACCAGACCACAATGAATCAACTAGGTGAAAGGACACTGTGGTAGATAGATTTTCATAAGCCTGGTTTTTCATACCTTTTCCCCCATGGATACACCCCCTGATGTGATGATGACATCAGCACGACTGATACCCTCATTCAAGGCATTGAGTAAGTCATCTGGGCTGGAAAAAAATAAAGACAAATAAATTAACACACAAGGAAAAGACTGATTTTAGATATAGCTCAAACCTAAAATGAAACTACTATATTCACTGGGAAGGCATTTGCATGAATACAGACTATATCACATTCCATATGAAGTGGGAATCAAAAGGGTCCCCTTCCATTAGGAGCATAACTCTTATTGTGGAGAAATAATTTTATGCGTGAAAGTAGTGGCTACTGTTACTTGTACAAAATTTTGGCACTTTAGAGAGAATATGACTCAAATTAGTTGAGACTGGTCTGAATGGGTAAATTTTAGTAGGTAGAAAGCATTGAGAAAGGGCCTGGTAAGTAAGAGAACTGGCAATTGTAAAAGTGTAGTATAATGATGAAGATGTGTTAAGTATAGATAAGTGGAAAATGACCAGTTTAGAATGAAGGATTTAAGTTGGATTGACTGGGATGGTACATAATTTTGGAAAGTTCTCAAGAGTGTAGACTTCATCTAACAGGAAAGGGTAGGTGGGGGGTCCTTTAGAAATATGAAGAATGAGGAAGGCAAAGACAATAGGGAAGGGTAAAGGAATAGAATGAATAATAGGGAATAAAAGTAGGCACGTTCCTGAGTTAAGTGAAAAGACAAGGGTGCCAAGTCTTTTAATATCAAAACTCAAAGATCTAGGAAGAGCAGATGAAACAAAATCAAGAATCTGATATTTGGATGTTAGAAGGGTAATAGAGGACTTATGAAAATGAATACATGAGAAAAGGACAAAATGCCAGGCATCAGATCTTATGGTGCGACAAGAAGGCAGATAGTGACTTAAAGGGACTGCTTGTTTACTAATTTAAATCCATGCAAATGCCAATGTGTATTGTACTTAAATTTCCTTCCAAATGATGGAGTGCAGAAAAGATACCTTTTGAGGGATATTTGTCCACCCTTGTTTTTCAAGAAATTTCTTACTCTGAGTGGAAATGAGATGCTACCCTTTCTCCCCTAAAGACATCTAACATGTTACATCTGAAAAAAGGGATGTGATCCTAGTCTATGATTATCTAGTTTCTACTTTTAGATCCTCTTGAGATTTATTATGGCTCCTGGGTTCCATGGAATAACTTCATATCTTTCTGTAAATCCCCTTTGTAATAAGCTAGATTCAGCATGTTTTTGCTACCTTGAAACAAAATAAGGTCTGAATGATGCAGAGTATGTTTTGTCTAATTTCTTGAGGTAGTGAAATTTGTTCCTATGCCTCTACCTTTATGAATTAACTGATGAGAGGAGGAAGCACAGGAGGAAGGAAATGGAAGGGAAGAAGAACAGAAGAGGGAAGAGGGTGAGGGAGGGAAGTTAAGTTAGAGATTCCAGATGGCATGACTTGTAATTAGGACATCATTTCACTTTTTATACAGAGTGACAGAGGCAAAGAGAGGAAACTGAGATATCCAAGGAGGCTACCTTCATAGGCTTTACAAGAAATATGCTGGCTGGGAAGTGGTGCAGCGCAGAGATTAAGAGCATGAACTCTGGAGTCAGACTGCCAGAGTTTAACTCCTGGTGCCATAGTTAGAATAAAGAACTTTGTACACATTGCTTAACTATTCTTTCCTTGAGTTTCCCATCTATAAAGTGAGAATAATAAAAGCTTGTTATGAAAATTAAGTGGCATAATACAAATAAAACAGTTTATGTAATAGCACCTAGTACAAACTTAAGTTTTAAAGAAAGCTTATTTATTGTTTATCATTCCAACAGAAGTTTATCAGGCAAACACAGCTAACAACGTGGCAAAGTTCAACTTCAGTATATTTGGCAGTTTTATTCTGGAGAATATCTATGATTAACACAGAAGAAAGCCATATACTGGATCTCAGGACATCCACAGAGCTGTAGGGAAAGAGCTCAAATGGCTCAATAGCATGTTAGGTCTGGCTTTAGCCCGAATAATTATATTTACTGTTGGGTTCTCTTCTTGGATCTGACTACCTTTCTTCTCAAGGGGTTGAGTGGCTTTGGGGAGCTATAACTCAAGGAGAAGAGACAAAAGTAAGTTTAAAAATGGTTCACATGAGGTGTAACCTTCCAACAGAGGGATCTTTTGAGGTCATCCAATTAATTGCTTATGCAGCCAAAAGGTATGTAGGTGTTCAGTGGAGGTGGGATTTATGTGCAAAACATAAAAACTTAAAAAAAACCCATGAATTGACATGGATTTCAAAATTTAACTGGAAGGGCAAACATCTTAGAAGAAATATATTGGGGAATGTGTGTTATTTAAAATACTTTTGAACAAAGTTTTTTGAAGAGATCTCCCATCAATCTTGTTTATATTCTTATATTCATTTTTTTTTTGCTCTTGCTTATATTCTTTAGGGAAAAAGATAAAATTGTTCTGTTGTATTGAAATACCGTAAAATATACATGTGATAGGTTCCTGATCACTGCTTGCCCTGCAGTCCAGGTGCCTTGCCTAGCTGGGTCATATTATATTTATGCTAAATCAAATGGCTGGACAATGGCATTTATGGGAAAACATAAAAAATACAGAATAATGTGGATTGTGGTCCATTTCACATGAATGGGCCATGAATATTTTCAACAAAATAACAATGTTGTATTAGTACAAAAGTTACTAGCTAATTTCACCAGTCTTATATATGTGACATGTCAACTCTGCAGAAATATGAAAAAACATTGGGGAAAAAATGTGGCAGTGACAAGCACATCATTATATTACATTAGTCTCTGCAAGTGGATAGAGGCCCTGGGACAGGCTAATTGATGACTACAGATAAAAATACTTTCAGTGACTTTTTTTTAATTAATTTTTTAAAAAAGATTTATTTATTTGTGCATATAGAACTGGAGTATAGGCCAGAGGCTCAGGGGCGGCGAGAGGCTTCACCAGAGACAGAGTGGGGAGCAGAACAGGCAGATC